CCCCAAAACCCCAAAACCCCAAAACCCCTAGAAACGAATTTGCTTAAAATTCATAAAAGTATCGAAATATGAATATAAATAATTCTAGAAATGGAATAGCAACAGCATTAGAAAAACTTATCTGAAGGCGAGGTCAAAATAATTGAGACGCCTAATGACTATCAGTCAGAGGAGAATAAAGTGAATAAATCACCTATCTCTGATTAGAAAGCAGGCTCCAATCAAAAATCACAGATGTCTTCTGAGAAATAAGATCAAGTTGCTACAACACCTGGAGGAGGCGATATCGACAACATCTAATCTCTAGATCAAGCCAGGAAGATTAAGGGACAGTAAGATTCTATCTATAGAGGGTTGATTACTTTATAGAGTTGAGAAGGATGTACTATTGCTAAGAAATAGAGTTCGCATGCTTTAGATGGAGCATGAGAAAGCATAGAAAAAGATCATGGAGACCTAGAAGAAGGCTAAACAACTTGAAGACCTAAAAGCAAAAAACAACGAAAAGTTCCTGCAAGTAAGATTGATTTATTAACTATACCTTAATAGCAACTGAAATATGAATAAGAACATAAAGGTAGTTTGAAGGGAGCTTAGAGTGGGAATTTTGAGATTTAAAAGGCATAGAGAGAACAAATTTAGAATGCTAAGTTCTCCATGTATCAATAAAAAGCTGAAGCCGTGTCTGGGTTGAAGTAGAAGCTAAATGAAGACCAAAAGCGTAAGCAAGAACTCCAGATGCAATAGTAGTTAGAGCAGTAAGAAAAGAAGAATCAAATCCGTGCATAGAAGGAAAAGGGCAAGGTGAAGATTGAGAAATACAAGCAGAAGAAAGCCAAGGAGATTATGAAGGAAGGCAAGTAGAAGACTGAGCAGGAGAAGCAGTTGATATACGCACTGGAGGGCGAAGCTAGGCAGCTTGAATTAATGGAGGAACAGTTGATAAGAAGGCTGCAAACGACATAGCAGATGGAGAAGGATGCTTTTAAGGAGTTAGAGGAAGCCATGATAACAGCAAGCATGCCCAAGAAAGAGAGACTTAAGATCATGAGCGAGATGCAGAGCAATCTTGGATCTGAAAACAATCCTTCCAAAGATCAAGATATATGATTAATTTAGAACAATTATGAAATAAAGAAATATTAAACTTAATTTCATAAATAATTCCAATAGTTATGATTACATTACTTATTTACCTTCAAAAGAAGGGCTTATCTCTTCCTCCAAATCTGATTTGACTTCCTTTAACCTTCCCTCCATAGCCTCCACCTAGCCTTCTTGGCTTGAACTCAGGCTACTTGCCTCCTGATCTGACTAGATCTACTATAACATCTCTGCTTCCATTGGCCATTGTAGACTTGTTAGCCTGACTGTAAGCTTTAAAAGCATCTTCTCTGTCCTCGAAATCGATAAAAGCGTAGCCTTTATTGCTGCCAGTGACCTTATCTCTGACTATGTTTATCTCTCTAATACTGCCATATCGCTCAAAGTGATGAAACAAGTCTCTGTCTGAAGTCTTTGGCAAAAGTCCACACACAAATATCTTTGACTTGTTCTGAGATGAGTCAAACTCAGAAGTATCTACAATTATATAATTTTATAGCAGCATTTAAAGTGAAATGATGATTTACAAGTTGACTTTGAAGTTCGATAGAGTGCATTGTCATGACACTGCTTGCCTCTTCCATCTTTGAAGCCTACCTTGATTGGGTCATAAGGCTCAATAGACTCACTGAAAAAGTTTCTCTCAAGATCTCAGATAGATTCTTCTCTACCCTATCTCTGATTTTGATATTTATTAGTCATTGCTCTGGAGTTATGATAAGTGTTCCCACGACCACTACCCTGAGTATAAGTTGATAAACCTTAGAATTATCTTTAATTTTAATTTCTATGCTCAGGATTGCTTTAAGATTAATGGCTTTGGTAAGAATCATGTGAACTTGCATTAGATCTTCTATCCTAACTTAAATTCTAATCATAATTCCCTTCCTAATATCTTTACTTATAGCTATCTTATTGATTTGAATATCTATACTCCTTCTGTTTGTCATCCACATATTAATATCGATCTCTATAGCATTCAATTATTATCAGAAAATCCCTACCTATTGTATAATTTCTCTCTGCTTCTACTTCTACTATGCGTCTTGGGTTGATATGTAGCCGACCTATTCTACAGATGATCATCTCTTCTTTGCTTTGACCACTGCACGTTTTTCTTATTGATTCTGCTTTGACTTTATTCAGATTCCTCACTATTATCTCTTTGTTACATTATGCTTTAATTATAATACTTGAATTAAGCTTACAAATATGAAATTAAATTAAAAATAAGACTAAATATCTATCTTCTTAGTGATCTCAATAGTAGTTCATAGTCTTTAACTTCAAGTCAAGGCAACATAGTCACATTGCGATCCACGCTGATGCTCAGCTGGGTGTTGCATTTTGTATAAATGCGCTGAGAGCAAAGAAGAATGCCAGGATCTTTATAACGCTTACATGCTATATTACTCAACGCTAGTGTTCTACTTCCTGCTTTGTCTTGGAGCAGTGCTTTGGTTTATATTTGGACTAGGTTGCGCTTTCAAAAGGATGCAAAGACATAATAAAGTGGTAAGGAAAAAGCTTTAGGAAATTAGGAACAAGATCAGCTGGAAGAATGAGCTAGATGAGAGAAAGAAGAGTGAGTTTCTTGTTGTCAGAGACTACGTATAACTTCAAAACAACAAGAGAGCTTACATTGAGAAGAAGATTAATGGTAAGAAGGAGTAGGAACTACCGAAGTCAGTCAAAGAGGCCATGAAGAGATCCCAGGAAAAATAAAAAGTCAGAAATAGACTGAGGTTTGAGAAGGACATTAAAGAGCTGCATTTGTACAAGAGAAGAATACCCAAGTGCTTGTACTTGCCGAACCCTGACATAAGAAGTAGAGAGGAGAGTGAGGATGATGTAGAGGAGGATGATGACTTTGACAGGATTGATTCACAGCAAAGCTTGAACATGCATTAGATTGATGAAGATAATCCAGGACAAACAAGCAATGATAAAAGAAGAATGCTTTATGAAAAAGAGAAAAATGAGAGTCATCTCAAAAGGACCTAAAGAACAGAGAAGCACTTCAAGAAAGAATTTATAGACAGTGTCTAGTACAAGAAGAAATCAATCAAGTATGGCAAGCTTAGAAAACGAAGACTTAAAAATGTAGAGCATTAACCCCCTAATAAGAGTTAAGAGGATGATTAGAATAGTAAGTAAACTTTATTTGCGGTGCCTGATTAGGCTGAGATTATCAAGAGGCGCATGTCATTTAGTAAGAGAGATAACTTAATGAACAGCGAAATCAAGAAGCAAATAGACAATTTCATGAGTTTGCATTTAAACCATTTATCGTCATCTGGAGAGTTCAAAAGTTAAAGTGGTAGTTAGTCATCTTCTTAACCCCGTGAAAATGAAGTTAATGAAAAGATAGATTATTTTAAAGAAGATTGATAATACTTCTTTTAAAGTGAGATTATAATGATTTGATGCAGTTATATCGATATTTTTATTATTTTTACCACTCTTTAAAAGATTCTTTCTAAAAAGCATTAAGGGGTTTTGGGGTTTTGGGGTTTTGGGG